CAAAATTTACAACATGGATCTTGAATGTACTGATAGATTTAAGATGTACATTTCTTGAAAAGGGTTTTGATACTAGAAGGATATCTTTATTTTAATTCAGGTATTTGTTTTTGGACTGATTATATATTTAATATGATAAAATATTAGACCTATATTGTAGAAGACGATTAACAACTGTTTTCACTTCATTTATATTGACATCTTATTTTCTTAATAGAAAATATCACCTTGCAGGAATGTTCTGCCATTTTTTTAAAACTACCTCGCTGTCCATTTTATACCATATATAAATACATAGAACAAAATATCTGCTATCATAGATCAATTTTGTAAGATGAAAGCATTGTTTTTAGTGCATTCTATTTAACGTCTGGTGTCAACATTTCTGTGTCATGAAATTTCGACATGACCTCCTCCATTGCTAGCAAACCTCATCAAGATCTAAAATGCTGCATGACTCACAACTAATAATAGTGGATATCCATTCCATCAAATTAGAATGCTAATACAGTCAATCTGTAATACTCATGTGGTAATCTGTAAGCAAGTGTGCTTTCTATAGGTGCAATTGTTAATGCTACTATTTGTCAGTTTTTGAATATCTTTCCTTATGGAATAAACATGCAAATTGCATGGACGCTCATGATGTCATTCTAAATAAGGGTTTGTCGATAAGACCATGCAGAGTGTATGCGAGCTAGAAATCTGTCAATTCGTAATTAGCTTGTAACATGTCAAAAGACGAGGGAACGTCAATAGCTTGTAGATGCATCAGCTGGGGTCGTTTATTGCAAAGAGGGAATGAGATAGAACGACATTGCAGGAGAGCACAATTTGACATTTTGAAATTATTTTCTGTCTGTGTGTACGTCTATTTATGGGGTATTTACTGTGTTATTTTACATTAACTCCGGTCTGAAAGAATGCTGGAGATAGGGAATAATATCTGTGATTAAGGAGTAGTGGTATAATGATTATGGAAGTGATGATAATGAGGTCACTTTTGAGGTGGAGGGATGATGATGATGATGATGATGATGATGTTGATGACTAGGACGACAATGATGACGATGATGATGATTATGACATCAGATGATGATGATGATGATGATGATGATATAAATGAGGATAATAAGGAATGATGAAGTTATGATGTTGACAATAATAATTGATATGTTGGTAGTGGTGGAGCATAATAGTTGATTATCATGATGGAGATTATTTGGCAAAGCATTGGATGGTCTTATGGTGGTCAACAAAGGATTGAAGTTACAGTGGTAGTTGATGATAATCACATACTCCATTCCCCCTCAATCAAATATATGTACATTTCCACCTCACTATGTACATTTCATGATGGACATGGATGTAGCTTTAGGTGTCCATCAATATGTCATCAACACCTTTACGACATTGTTATTCCTGGCCATCATCTGTTTCATTACCTGATGCTGGGGTTATGAGGAGGCTATAGTTTCATGGCATTATTATGGTAACATGTCGCTGTATGTTGTGATAACCTTGTCAGTTTAATGGTCGTCTTTGGTACTGTCAAGCCGTGGGCATAATGTATAAGATGTTGTCCACATATATCAAAATTATGTAATATATGTTACGTATATTAAAAATATTATTTGTATAGGACAAGAAATAAGTTCAGCAGAATTTTAATCAAGGAAATGTGCAAGATGATATTCATAAGTATAAAGCGTTAATTAAATGCTTCAAAGGTTTGTGAATGTAACATAAATGAAATTGACTTGCCAGTGATGAAGAAGGGGATGTTCGCAGGGGGAAGGGCTGATGGGGAGGGGGTGAATGCACCAGCCTGGGAGGTGAGATCGCTGTTGGGGGCGGGGTATTGTATATCTATGTCAAATGACTTACAGCTGGTCCTGTTTACGTGAGAGCCTCTGATGACTTGTGAAGAGACTTGAGAAGTTAGGAATCTCTCAAGCACCCCCCCCCTAAATCAAACACCTCTCCCCCCATTGAACACCCCTATCCCATTTAAATATCCTCCCCCTGCCACAAGCCCTTCCCAAATCACTACCCCCTTCAACACAGGTTTGCAGTTTGCAACTGGTTTCAACCAAGCTCAGCTCTTCCAACATTTCAGTATGTGAAATATGCTATCAAAATTATACTTTTATACTCAAGTTTGTTTAAGATACCATGCATTTTCCAACATGCACTATGCATTGCATGCATATATCAATTATTTCATAAGTTATTATAGACGGGTCAGTCTGTAGGCATTTCTTTTAATTTTAGATACATGGAAAATGGTTTAATTTACTTTTTCAACACTCAAAACCTCATATAAATACCATTCATTCAAGATCAACCTGAATATGGTGTTATATGATATCACATGGTTTGGATAAACTCAAAATAAGATAATAATCAGTTTTAAAGAAAGTATTACACAAATTGCATAAGCTTGAAAACACTAATGAGTTTGTGTGTAACCATGTATTTTTTGTCTATATTAAGATAAATGCAGCCGAAATCGTATATTCAAGAACACTTGGTACAGTTGCAAGTTTTTTTCCCAGACCTCAGGATCTAACACCTGACAAGAACTTGCTGACCAATGTGTTAAACCCATGTCCACTTTTGAAGTTCAAAGGTTAGGTTATGAACTGGACCTTGTCCAAACGTTGCAACAACATGAAGCCACTATCAAATACACAATGTCTACAAAACTTCGTGCGTGCTACCCTCCACAAGTCTAAGTCCATGCAAACAAATTTGTAATGCTTTTCATTAACAGACCGAACTGTTTCCAGGGCTCTTCTCTGTCGCTTCATTCGCAAGTCCTGCTCGTCCCTGATTGGTCAGTTGTGTGTCACATGTACCTATTTACCCTCCCCCTAACCCCTGACCCCCACCCCCAGCCAGATGGTCCTCTGTCTCTGAAGAAGACCCAAGTGCGAGTACAGATGCTGCTTGAAAACTATCTTCACAGGATGTCAAGATCAAAGAAATATGACACTGACGTCCTTTGCTAGTTGTTCATTACAGGAATGGTGCAATGTATGTCTGCTATAGACGCCTTGCTTTCATTTCCGTCCCATGTCTGACACATACTCCTCCGATTTCCCTGTCGTCTGTCCAAGGAACAGATAACGGATAACAGATAACTCTGTAGGGTGTTTGTCGACTTTACCATTCCGTCTCTTGGCGCTTCGATAACCAGTTTCAGACATCTGTAATCGCAGCAGTAGGAAATGGCTGCCCTTAAACATAATCTTAAAAGTCAGCATGTTTATGTTTTAAGTTTTTAATTAAGTTTACATTTTGAAACTATTTCAGAAATTTTCAAATTCCTCTCAAGTTTTAATTATCAGCACAAGACATCCAGGAAGCTCTCCAGAGAAAAAAACCTGGTCTTGATAAGCAAAGAAACAAGAGATAACTCTGAAATATTTAATTGTTTCTTTATTATCCTAAACATTTTGAAATAAATAATTTTAGATGCTTCTTTGTGATGTTTTGTGGAGCAGTATTAAAGGAATTATAAAAATCCTAAACAAGGTTGTTAGAAATATTCTCAATATTCAAATACTTGCGAAACCATCAGGATTCCAGTGTTAATGATATTTGCAATGATGCCAATTTTCCTGTGGGCAAATACCACAGATGTTATCGGTTATTTTGCTATTGACATGAAAAATTAACTTATTTATGTCAGTGCTAAGCCGGGGGCTTCTTTCTTGTTGTCATGGGTTATTATTAGTCAAGGGTTTATATAACCTTATTGAGTTTTATGTGCTGCAACAGGGATGCCCATTTGTAGTTCATTGATTTACATACATAAATGGTAAACATGATTTACGTCATTCCGTCTTATGAAGATGGTAACTTTGGTAAAAGTAAATTTTGAAGATGTCATAAAAACACATTTATAATTTGGGTGCGAAACTACACCAGAGCAACCAGGCAAGGATTTTGCTATACTTGAGATAAGGGTAGAATTTTTTAGCACTGAAGTTCAGGTCATTTTTGTATAAATTTAATCAGCACAAGCCAGCTAGTCAGATATAATTGAGCACCTCTGGTAAAATTTCAATTTTGAAATAAATCTTATTTCCAAATGATACAACTGATGTTACAACTTATTCCAAATATGTGGTAGTAATTGATACGTGTAGCCTGAAATTTACATACATTTTTTACGTTACCCCGAGGAAGGATTTAATGTACATTTTTTTCTTTAATGGATTAATGATGTTTTAAGATTGATGAGAAAAAGTTTGGTTGAATTTATGGGTCATCAAATAGACATTTTCATAAATCTTGATTGGTATGATTGATATGAGAAGGCAACATGATTAGTAAACGTGTTACATCAGGAATGTATTCTGACTTGTGACTAATCTAAAATACTCAGGTAGATTACCTGTTATTCTGACATGTTAATTTATGTGATTTAGGTTGTGAAATCTTTTGGAAGAAAAATTGATATGATATTTTCAGTAAGAGGAATATTAAAATAATATATCAATAGGAGAGGAACAGTTGTGACAGTCATCAAACTTTGAACAGACAACTTTATGAGATAATGAAATTTGACTGTATATGTTTTTCTTGTAGAATGCAATCCAGATAACTATACATCTATAGAAGAAAAAGAAGAAGAAATATATTGTATGTGTTTATTTCCTTTCCTAAGATAAGATAAGATAAGATAAGATAAGATAAGATAAGATAAGATAAGATAAGATAAGATAAGATAAGATAAGATAAGATTTATTTATATATTTATTACGGAACAGATGCAATATTTAGAAGACAAAACATTTTCATTCATACATACATGTATCTGTCCTTCCATCCGTCCATCCGTATGTACATGCATACCTACCTACCTACCTACCTACCTACCTACCTACCTACCTACCTACCTACCTACCTACCTACCTACCTACCTACCTACCTACCTACCTACCTACCCACCCACCTACCCACCTACCCACCTACCCCACCTACCCACCTAGAATCATTTAAGACATCCATATATAACAAATAAAAAATTGGCTGTTCTCAGAAGATAACCAAGTAAGGTGTCATACTTGACAAATGCAGACTTATCATGATCATACTGACATCTGATCATCAGCTGTCACTGACCACTGACCACTGTTGTCCATAGCACACTGACCAGCATCCCTCTGGTGGTACATTAGCACCATCAGGAAGAGCAGAAACAGGGTGCTTATCACGTCAGTCTGATGCTAAAACTATTGACGCATCTGGCTTCTGTAATGGCTTTTTATTCAAACAGTGGCCTATAAAATGCTATCCTGATAGCAAAGCTTTTGCCGAAGATAATTGCAATTAGCATGATTAGAGAAGTGGCACAGGCCCAGATCAATACAACTGAAGAAACAAATGCATAAATGTATGAACTGCTCCTTGACACTGACACCTCGCTTATAGCGCAATAGACGCAAACATACACTCGTCAGTTTCAGTCTGAAATGTACAAGTGAAATGAACATGTAAAATTTATGAATGTATGGAATGTGTTTGAATTCAATCTGATTAAAATTAGGGGAGGGGGTATAAGAAAGTTTGTGGTCTGTTGGCTCTGCAGAGTGTCTGTGATGCTGTGGAAGGACCATATGAAGCTGACAGGAATGAAGGTCATATGGGCATTAATAAGCTATCATCCATCATTTTGGTCCCCAGCTTGGCAGGACTGGTCCACTTTATTACATTTGGTTAAAAATCTGGAATTTCGATACCCAGACTGTGGAAGGAAGTGAAGGTGACAGGCAAAACATTGGATGGTCTTAGTTGATAAATGGCTGTACCAGCCTACATCCTCAGTCTGTGGCTGCCAACGGAAAATGTCAGAGGCTGTGGCTGTAAATGTGTTGTGTTTCTGCAATGTAGAGTTGGACAGAGTCAAATACATCAGCCAGAGAGAACGTGGCTGGACAGTTCAATGCATTTTTACCAAAAATAGATATTATAGATATGGTTTGCGTAAAATATAGAATTGAGGACTTTTTAATATTATAAACACAAGACACCATTTAAATATCATAGCTAAAGGATTGTGACCACTGATTTTTTATAAAGTATAAAAAATATATGAACAATAAAAAATTCAACAACAAAAAAGAAAAAAGTATCAAATATATATAAAATGGCCATGTCAGAGAACAATCAGTCTCAATCATCTGCCGAAACAGATTCCATTGGACATGAAAGGCAACACAGCAGTGGAAGTTATTTGCATAGACCACTGAAAAACAGGGATAGCACCAGGTGTTCGCTAAAGGATAGGAGCACTGGAAGCTTAACATGAAACTTACATTCCCAGTTGCTGATTTTCTTGTGTAGATTTCAAACATATTACAGCATATTTCTTAATGCACTTAATAGATTATATATCCCCATACAGGTTTCGAAATGTCTACATGTCTGTCAGATAGATGTTCCTGAAAATAAGGAAATGGCCAATTCAAATCAAGTCCAAAGACTCACAACAGGGAAATTACTGAATTGTCAATTCTTGGTGAATATGTGTCACTCTACTCGAGTGTGACATCACTGTGAAAGTTGCTTTATTTTGGGATCTTTCGGAAATAGACACTTTAATTGATCCTGTCACACAGGAACTGTCAGCTGTCCATTGATTGTCACGTGTGAAATGTACATGACTTTTCTTACACAGATGTCTTTCAGATTTCAGATCTATCACTATGATCCTAATTGTTCCCAAGAACACTTTGTAGACATTTCATAAGGTGTTAAAATTTTTAAATTGGAGGTATTTGGAGATGTATTTATTGCTTATTACAAAATCAGGTCAATGGATTCAAGTGTCAATCAAGAGAGGAACTGATTACTCATAGAGGATATTGTAGTCATCAATATTCACATCAAGAATAATAATTTACAATGATTAACTCAGTGTTTAGTATAATTCTTGGAAATATTTCCTGCTAGTTGCGTCTATGTTTAGCCATTTTCTATAATTAACCATACCCAAATATTTTCTATTTATAACAATGTACTGAACATGAACTTTATTATAAGCAATGGTTAACTGTTTGGGACAGTATATTTCTTGTGTATTTTATATTGATTTTTCAAATTAACAAATGTGAATAAATATGAATAATATATAATGTGATAAAAATACAATATTTTATAGGCATGTGTCGTCAGAGTTCCCCTAAAATCAAGGACTGTTTATTCCCATGAACATTGAGAATGGTTCAACTTTCTCATAGGTCTAAATAACAGCTGCAGAGAATAGGATTGCGTCTCCTAAATGCTTCAATGATCTCACAAGATAACTTCTTCATATGAGTTTATACGCTGCACTGAACACCCCTTCACTCCTGAGAAATGTAAGGGATGGTGAGGAGTGCAATGAACTTTATGTTGTTCAAACAGAAGAGAAAACTGTTCAATTCCATCTCAGGTTACACCTCCTTAGAAGTGAAGGATAATCAGTAGATTTACAAAGTAGAATTCAAAATGTACCCTGGATATTGAAATCCATTGACATGAGGGAAACACAGAGCAGTTTTCACACTGTCTCCTGTGGAGTTTCCATGCCATGTTGGCACTGTTCCACAAGGTGGTCCATGTGAGATATGATCATCTTCACATCTTAGCACCAAGTTTGCTTCATGCTTGCTTAAGACCGCCTCCGTGGTCTAGTGGTAGAGCGTCCGCCCGGAGAGCGGAAGGTCCGGGGTTCGATCCCCGGCCGCGTCATACCAAAAGACGTTAAAAGATCTTACTTGTTGTTACCCTGTCTGTCGCTCGGCATTAAGGGGCTAAAACAAGGACTGGTTGGCTCGGAGTCAGTATACTGTGTCTGAGTGGGGTATTCATGTTAAACTGCGGCATGGTATCTCAGTGGGCTAGCACTATAAATCGGCATCAGTCCGGACTAGTACAAGCAGCCACACACTCGTGCATGCACGTCGCTATATAAGTGCAATAATCTTAGACGCGACGTTAAACCCAATTTCACCTCACCTCATGCTTGCTTAAAACCAATTAACAAGCAGACTTAGTCTGTCATACATTCTAAAACAAATATATCCAATACAGCCCATGCAAGTCTATAATGTTGGCAAGTATAGATTACTGCAGTATCAGTATCTGAAAATGAAAGTATCTGGGCTCCTTTTTATTATATTTTATAACTATGATTAAACAACTGTTTTTTTCTGTAAAATATGTTGATTTCAGAGACTAGATGTTAGTCTGAAGGAGACTGGATATTATTGTGTGTGACTGCACAGTTGTGTGTCATTGTACCTTGACCATGTTGTGGGTTGTTGTTCATGCTATCGGCCACTGGTTTCTCCGATCAAGGCTCAGTTATAGCTATAGCTGTAATGTTTCTGACTCACTCAGTTTCACAATGTGGTTGCTCAACAGTTGGAGAGGAGAGGAAGTGACCCACTGTGTTCCCGTTCTCAGTAACAGTAATGTGATGATGTTCCCTCCACACTTGCAAATACATTGTAATCTGGTATTTTCTACACCATTCTTCAGATTGTATTATGTTTCATGGAAAATTGAGACATCCAATACAGTCAAATAAACTGGCAAACCTTTTTTATAAGTACATTATGTAAGTACTCCAAGTTATATGGCCCCGTGAAGATCCGGGTTAGAATAGGTCTTCAGCAACCCATGATTGCCGTAAGATGGAATCGGGAGGTAAGGCTTGCTGACTTAGTAGATGCATGTCATCGTTTCCCAATTGCGTGGATGGATGCTCATGATGTCAATCACTGGATTGTCTGATCCACACTCGATTATGTACAGACTGCCGTCATATAGTTAGAATATTGCTGAGTGCAGCATTAAACAACAAACAAACAAATCCAAGTTATATGAGATATATGAACATTTATCAGATTTATGGGCCAAAATGTTTGATTGAAGTTGTGTTGTCGTGTATATTTGTAAAGAAGGAAACCCAAACACTTAACTTTGTGACCTTTAATATTAAAGAGTACGAGCTAGAGCACACACTTCATCACATTTGCAAGTTTTTTTTGATGTACTTAAAAACAAAGCATAAGGTGTGGCTATTTGTTTGAAAGAGAAAAAGACCCTTAATTAGGAAAACCTGATATATTCTCTCTCTGTTAATGTTTTGTATCCACAATATTGACTATTGTGGTGTACGTGGCTCTCCATATCTTAAGCTTAATATCTTTAATCAAGAGAGGGCTCTCAAGGCTGTCATGTAATGTAAACAAAGTTAGGGGTGACAACAGTCAACTGTACATATATCCCAGCGTAGAATTGCAGGTAGAATGTGGACAGGTAGATACAGGAAATACCTGGAATATCTCGTTATTGACAACCAGGTGAACAGAAAGTGTCACCGTCACCATGTTGACTGTGGAGTTAGTTTACTGTTGTATAGGGTTCTGTAAACACTTTGGACAGTGTTCCTTATCAGGCAACTGGTCAGAGTGGTGAGTTGATTATGTAATGTTCGATATTGATATGTGGGTGGTCGGAGGTCAAGAAGGACCAAACTGTCCTTGATCAAGGTGTGAGGTTGAATCTCTTTAGGATTTTAGCATTACAGTGAGATTGTGGAAATTGATATTGAAATTTAATAATTGGCTTATGATTGCAAAAAGTTTTTAACATTATTATTCGGAAATATTTGGATACATAACATAGCTAAGATTTGTCTTTTTATGTGGATGTTTGTATTATTTTAATTTTGGGTTGCTTTTTGGTTTTAAGTAAAGGTACAGTGTTATGCAGGATGTGTTTCTAATGTAATGTTTGCAAGGTGTTAATAATTATAGCCTATGTTTATTCTAATGACAGTTTGCATGCAACTTCAGTTATTCTGACATAATACATTGCAATCAATAAAGAAAGCGTCAGTCATCAGTGACATGTACATGCGCAATATACATGCCCCCTACTAACATAATTAACCCTTTAAGTGTTAATCTCACTCATCATGCTCACAGAAATTAATTAGAGATACGAAAATCAACACATCAAAAGTGCACTGTTTCCCCTTTGACTATTGTAATGTTAAGTAATGCAATGTACGAGGTTTTCCTTTAATGTGCTCACGCCTACACCCTCACAGATGTGAACCTGGTCATTAATTTCAGTGTTGACCTAGTCGTATTTCAAGCATTATCAGACTCAGTAAGATCTGGGGCTAATGAAGACCCCATGGCAGGAAATCACACCATAAAAATTACACAGAATGGAAACACATTGAGGAAGTTAAGATTATCAGTGTTCAAAGAAAATTTTCATGGGGAGAAACCTAGTTGGTGGTAGGGGTCAGTTGAATAGAGAGGTGGTGGTATTTGTTTGGGTCAGTTGGGGTTATGTCATCTGGACTGAGATAATGGAGTAAGTATTTCAGGGCCAAGGTGGTGAAGTACAACTTGGAGGTGGGGAGAAGAATAGAGGAAGATGGTGGGAGAGGTAAAGAAGAAATAAAATGGTGTTGGGAGAGTGAAGGGGGATGAGCATGTTTCTGTTTGTTGTGGAAACTTGATGTTCTGAAGGGTAAAAACCAACTGGGGTCAAGGTCACAGATGTTCATCTTGGGAGGAAAATGATGAAGAAAAACATTTAAAAATGGCAGGGATGAACATGTGATGATATTTTGTATTTTAGCACATTTGGTTAATCTGTGTTGCTGTTATTAGTTTTGTCACAATTCAAAAACTGTTAAAATGTGTATGAGAATGTGAAAAAAATTAACATGAAGTCTCTATTGATTTATTTATTCTTACAACCATTGTGAAAATGATAATTTTGTAAATAACTGTAATAATTGTAATTTTCACACCTGGTCCAATAGTTGTCATGCATAAATCTAGTTCATGTTCAGGAGGCAGGTTTATGAATCTTTTCATGGAGAGGAATGTTTCAAGGTCAAAAGTTTACAGGTTCTTTAAGAAGTCTGAAGAAAAAATGCAATAAAAATGATATGACTTGAACAATTGAAGCTGGTCATGATAGACAGAGGTCACTCTTTGCCTGCATACCTTTCAACTATGATACATTGAGGGACCATTGAATGAAGAAGATCTTAAAGAGAAATGGAAAGCAAAGAAGATGAATAAATGATTTTAGGAGAAATAGAAAAGAGAGAAATGGATGAACTTTGAGAAGGAGGTTTTAAAGTGGTCTTATCAAATTAAGGAGGGGGATATTAGGGGAGGGGGAACTATGACACTTGGACATGAATGACACATACTGACCAATAGTGGACACAGGTCACATCTGACATCAACTGATTTTGTAAGCAACAGGAATTTCCATTCATGACGAATGCACAATATTTGAGAAGAGGTGTGAATGTGAATGAGGCTTAAGGAAAATTGTGGTAGGGGTGAAAATTAGGAGACAGAGATTGAGGCTTGGGGTGATGTGTGGGGGGGAGTGGGGGGTATAAGAGGAGATGAAGAATGTGGATGCGTTTGAAACAGATTGAGATAAAGATACTGAGTTGGGTGATTGGGGGGAGGGTTTTCAATTGACCATAACTGGACAGGGGTCAGATAATTGGACATGAGTGCTTCAGTATTGAGAACATGGAAAATATGTCACTGATTTATTGAGATGAAATGAATATTGTCCCATGAAGAATTCTAAGAATGGGCTAAGTGGGGGGAATGCCTAAAGCAAGACAGTGTAACATGCCTGACAGAATACTTGAGGTACCTTGTCCAGATGCCGTGAATCATTAATTTACACATGAATATCAACACTGTAATCTTGTGATTATGTCTGTGTACTGCTGTAAAACATGTAATTCTACTGGATAACCTTTCCAAGACAATTTACCCAAATATGCAGGTTCCTGGAAAAAAAGAAACATAAATATTATTATTTAATGTATATGATTTATTATACAGAGATACAATTTATGTATCAACAAATTTTCCTTAACAGTATTTTGAAATATTACATTTCTATTTTTTGTTTAAGAAATATAACAATTTATCTCATAAAATATATGTACTAAATGATATGATACCCAGAGATCTGTATTTATTAAGTAGATGCTAAATATTTGAAGACTGTAGGAAATTGTATCCTAGATGGTTAAAGACGACATGAGGTATGATAATTTTAGTGGATGGGAAAAGGTTAACCTAAGGGTATGGAGACTTGATGGTGGCACACAGTTCATTTGATACCTCTAAAAGTGTGATAATTTGAAGAAATAAAAAATATAATGATTGATGGGAGGGACCCTGACCAAAAGGGGTTTGGGGTCAGGGTAGTGTTTCGGAGCTGGGCCAGGGGTGGACAAGATCTAGACCCCAGGCATAAGATTTGACACTACTGATCCTGGGGAACAGGTGAATATTTTATTCTCATGGTGAGGGGATTTGAATGGTGATCAAAGCTCAAACAGGGGTTAGATACGGGTATCAATTAGAATAATAATTGATGGGTCAGGGTCCGGTGATTCGACACATCTGATCTTGAAAAAAGAAAGGAATTTGAATGTGACGGATTTGGGTGATGACACTGAAAAGAGCCCCAGTGGGGGGGTTTTCAAGGGGGAGGAGATGAGGGGATTCTCAAACATCAAAGAGAAAACCGAATGAAAATTAGGGACTGCATTTTAAGCTTAAATTTTCTTAATAAAGATTAAGAGGTAATATGGTGAAAAGCCAACAAATATTTTGTGTTCCTGTTGATGCCTTTGATGATTATTCGAATAATCATTTGGAGATATGTGGTTGATTGAACATGTGCATCGTTTATTAAAAAATCATTAAAAAGACATTAAGCCGTTTCATGAATATGTGTCTATTATGAAAGCAGGGTGTTAATGATAATAATTTCATATGTGATGTACATAACATCATTAAGAGAAACTGATCACATGAAGCACAGGCTATCCACATGTGAAATTCAAAAATAATGATGTACATAGCGAAACTGATTCCAGTGGGGTGGTATTAGCAAGGCATTGATTGGCAGTGGGTGGTTTATATAGATGTGGGGGGTCTGTCTGTGAGACGAGGGGGAGGAAGGGTGGGGGATACTTGAGATGACCATTAGTGGACAGGGGTCAGAGTACACATCTGACCAGACCACAATGGGGTGTGTGTGTGGGGGGGGGGGGGGGGTCTGAGAAGAGAATCATGATTACAATCAGCCTTGCAAATTCTGTGAAATTGATTATAATAGACTGGATCAAGTCCCCATTTGAGAACTTGTGACCTTGCACTATTTTTTGCTGGACTAAACATGCGGTGTCATTAGGGGGTGAGTGGGTGGGGTGGGAGTGGTGGGGGGATGAGAAGGAAGGGGGAGGGAAGAGGAAATACCACCATAGTCAAAATCCTTAAACTCTCATATCTCCTAGTTTCACACACATTATATTTTCAGTTTTCTACAGTTCATAAAATGATCAATATGTATAGTAAAAAGTTTGTTCAAGTATGGTGATACCAGAGTTTCAATTTGCAGCAGTTGATTGCACAAATAGTCCCTCACACTATCAGCGTGAGTGAGTGAGTGAGTGAGTGAGTGAGTGAGTGAGTGAGTGAGTATGGTTCTCTGCTGGTTTAAGCACTATTCCATCAATATCACAGCGGGGCCACCAGAAATAGGCATTACAATATTCCAGTCATCAAGCTGTGTTCAGGTGTGTTGAAAGAAAATGTTCATTTTTACAGTTGATTATACAAATATTTCTCAAAACACTTTTAATGGAACATGGTCATATAAAAGTGCAATGAAAATGGATTTTCAGTTTGTCAAATTCTTTATGGACATTCTACATAAAATCTAAGTAATGTTGCCATACAAAAACTGAACCATTGTGAATGAAAATGATAATGGTTGACTAAAAGCCTGATGTTTTATGCCTGTTATAATGGTATTCGACAGAGCTACAGTTACATCCATATGCCAATCAGACGTATTATTCATGTGTTATATATGAACTCAAAACACGAATACCAGGTATTCTAATCTCAGAAAACAGATGAAATCTATTGCTGAAATCTACAAGTTCTAACATTTGTTTTTGTACATGTCATACTGTTAATTTAACATCTGCTTAAACTAAAGTCGGGAAATGGGAGCTTTGCAGATCATTATCACCAACAGCAGAATAATCTCTCCTTGCTCCTGGAATTGGCGATAATTGACAGATGTATATTTTCATTTGACATAATACTTTCAAGCTAAACATATTGCATAACCAGAGCAGATAAAGACACCTTTTCTCATGCTCTAAGACTTCCATTTAATAAAGAGATAAGCATCAGACTTGAAATTGACAAGGGCTTGGCAACGTGACACCTTCCCAAATCAAATCTCACACCTTTGATTGGTCAGTGATGCTTACAGCACGCAGGGGATTAATTTCTTGACCAGCGTCCACTACACGAACCAGTCAATATTCAACGGTCACTTCAAGAATTCCAAGTCTATTATTTTTCTGTGCCCACATGGGGTCATACTTTGACTAAAGTGGAATTAGGCTCCAGGATATTGACACATCGGTGAATAGACAGGTCTTCATTTCAGTCCTGACCTATCATTCATTGCAGTCATTTGAGTCGAAGGCGAAACAAATTACATTTGATTTATAACAGTGTTGTAGCAGAGGAGGCTAGCCTCAGATTCTTAGCCTCCTTGGTTTCAAAGGAATGTCCCATCTTGATCAGATGGTGTGTCAATGAAAACGATTTTTTTCAATTCAACAAGTTTGGAAAGAATAAAATATGACAGAATACTGGAGGATGGATTTGATAAAGATTCCTTGAAACTGGCTGTTGGGTCTTGGGCAGTTTCCTCATCTTCATCATATCAATATTTTTCATCATCCTCTTCATCACATTCATTTTTGACTACCTCCACCATTAATACACTACCGTTACTGCTATGATGAACTTGAGGCATTTAGCCACTCACTCACTCACTCTATCATGAACAATTTACATTGTGTTACCCGCAAACAGCTGATAATATTCATTATGAAAATAACTGTCACAATCACTTTTTTTATTTACACTGTATACATAAAACAGAATTTGTAAACAATATACCAAAAGTAACATTGTCATAGAACATCTGTAATAATTTTAATAATGCAGCTAATAACATACTGGATACAAATCCCTTAATAAACAACACTGAGAGGCTAATAGTGAAATGATTATGATTAAGAAGTTTCATGGGAGTGCCTATATATACTCACCAATAAAACCCTTCACTGTTCTGAATTTCTGCTGACTTCGCATAATATGGGAAATCATTACCGACAGGTAGGTGTAGTGAGTCAGGTGTGTCACACAGGTGTTACAGAAATGTGATTGACACCTATCATCTGACATCTTGACGATCAAACTTGAGTCATATCACTGGGAGCTTCCTCGTTCATTTCAATATATTTCCATATTTTCCTAAAAAGGAAATTGATAAAAAATAATCTATATTTTATTCTCATATATTTAGAATTTTTATATATTAAAAATAAATACCTTTCATAACCTATTGCAACAGTGTGACCATAGATTCAAGATTCAAGATATTTATTGTACAGAACACCCTTAGGGGCAGGGTACAAATCTATAATGCAGATACAGCATATTTTACAGAAAATCAACATAGTAAGACTAACATGATAGCATACAGTAAATAAAGGGGGTTGATGACAGCATTTGTAGGAATTGTGTGTATGTGTCCTCATGTAATAAATAAGTATTTCATCGGTTTGTAAAAAAAGTACCAAAACCTTTCTTGAAGCAGCAGTTGCCTCATTCTAGTTTCTTAAGTTTTGGGTGATGGTTATTTTCTATGGTTAAGAAAGTGTTCATTGCTATGGCACAACTGGTGGGAGGTGGATATCATTTTCAGAGAAGGATTGGTAGCTTGTCTCCACTTAACAGATAACACATTTTCAGACAAGAGTTCATTTTTATCAAAGAAATACACTCAAAAACATATAACATACTGCCAAATATGAGTGTAGGTATGAAATACTTATAAGTAATCAGTTAATTGATCACCGTGTTTCATTTACCGTATTCGACGTAATAAGCTCCCCGCTCTATTAAGCGCCCACGGCGATATTTGCTAATGTATTGGTTAGTGAACAATCCCAATTAGCACCCCTTCGGATTGATCAATGTACACAAGACTTATTTATTCACGTATAATACGCACTCATGTGTTATGTGCACCCTTAATTATAGGCAATTAAATTCTGGAAAAATATATATGTTGTATATAAACATTTCTGGATGTCAGGATAAACCACAAAATTTATCTTTCAACTCTGTTTTTTCCACCAAAGAATATTCTAATAAGCCCCCTATTTCTAATTTTGAGAGCGCCCTGGGTGCTTATTATGTCGAAAGCGGTAATAAGTTTTACAGTTATGTAGAAAAGTGTATAAAGGGTTAAGGGGTGCAGTACAGTGAGGCGGAGCAAGTTTCTAATATCTGGAAGTGATTGACAGTTTCCGTATGAATAAGCAATAGATGATAACTGTTAGATCATCAATTCATATGTACTAAATGTGTGCACTGTGCAAAAGTAGGCCAATAGGATACATATCTAATGAGCTATATTCATCAAAGAAGTTTATGGTCATGGTTATGATCAGGTTCTATCTGCTGAAAGCAATTTTCTTCCTTACTCGTAAATTTCAACAGCTGTTTGTCATTTTGTGTGGTTGATTTTCTCAGAATTGGGCTAAAGCTAAACAGACCCAGGTGCCTCCTTTGGAATATTTATATTTTACAGGTTAAAAATGTCTGTGATTTTAAGACAGATTTCCTGTATGTTGTGTGTTTGGGTGATTAACGTAATTATGCTTCATGACAGATGAGGTAAATTTCATTTGAAATATTTTGAAATGTGCATCCTCAATGTCATAATTATTGCAAAATAGATTTGAAATCGTAAAAAGTAAGCAATTAGGAGTTTGGAATTATACATGCTATAATGATATTGTGAAATATTTTCTTTAAATTGTCTAAAAATTACATAAATTCTGTCACATGTTCTGCATTTGATGTGACTCAAGCAATGTATGGTCGTTAATATCTGTCAACACCATACCCTCAGTACAATCGTGTATTCAGTATGGATATTGATTATGCATAAAGTCATTAGCCCAGCGCAATTGGTAGTCTAGCAATGGAGAGTAGTGTACAAGATCATATCAGCATGGTAAATTAAGCCTTCGAAAACAGTTCTGTCGCTGCTTATCTCACTGCTCGTACACATTTTACTGCCTGGGCCTACACCATCATCATCCTTGGTGCAGCTGTATCTAAACAGTTTCACCAAATAATGAAAATTAACAGGTGTGGTAGCCCTATTGTAGGTGTGTTTGCTCATGATGTATGTTCTGAGTTTAAATCCTCAAAAGATCTTGCTGTCAAGACCCTATTCTCAAATGTATGAAGCCCATTTCTGGTGTCCCCCGCCGTGATATTGCTGGAATATTGCTAAAAGCGGCGTAAAAACATACTCACTCACTCTCTCTCTCTCAAATGTCAAATGTAATATATTTGTTTTCCTGGAAGATCTCAAATTCCATCTTCCAACTTACCTTTTTGTACTGAACAAAATAATCATAATATTTTTAGGAGAATAATGTGAAAAGATTATTTCCAAATTCAAGCTTTCAAATCATTACAAAATTTCCAGTTAATATATCCCACATTATCTGCATACTATAACCAAGGGTAGATAAGTGCAGGACGTTTTCCTAGGACCAGTTGAGACCAGTGCTTTCCCATTCGTGTCAGGCTACTTGATATAAATCCCCACCTTTAAGCTGTTAATAACGAAGCACTGCCTTCTCTTCCTGTCCAGACTGACCCAAGCATGAAATCTGGTCCACTAGATGTCCAGGGTACATTATCACACAATTTCCTTCACATAAGCCAGTGTGATACAGCTGTACTAGGGTATTATGGCTGATCAGGTATTAAAACCCCATACACCCCTTTCAAAACAGCTTGGCTTGACAGGAAATTCATCCAAAGGCTTTTGCTTTAGGCACCTTTTTTTCCATACTTGTTTGAGGAAAAACTTGATTTTTAAAAATTCATTTTGGATTAGAACTAGACTTGCTCCAAGGCTGTACTGAAAGAAAAGTCCATGGATGTGTAGTAATTCTATCCTCCTAATACATGCAAGTCTAGATATGTGGACAGTCTCTCATAGAGACAACTTGCTCTTAATATTTACATAATTTAGAATTTATGATTTAAACTAATAATTATTGCCTTTAGAGGCTTGTGCAAGTCTAGATTAGAGCATACATTGTGGATTAGAACATGTTTGTACCATGCTTGTACCCTGCGCCATGAGGGCTTTTTCTACATCAAATTCTATTTCAAATGACATTCTATTTCTACATACATGTTTTGTATTTGTATGACTGTCTATATAATATTTTTTGTTCAAAATAACTTTTTCTAAAAACAAAAGTCAAATTCTAAAACAAAAGGATTGTTTCATTTCCTAAACATTCAGAAATTGCTCAGCATTTCCTTGACAGCAATACATGGGGGGGGACGGTGGTAAGTTGAGGGGGGTGGGTGGTGTGTGGGGGGTAATCTAGAGCTTCCCTCCAGATCAGCTGTCACTGTAATAAGCAACCTAAAACCTATCTGACTGGCACAATTAACATTAACACTTAATGAGGCAAAGTGACTTACTAAGCACATAAATCAGCAAGAAGCATCAGTCCAGCTTCCCCGTGTTGATATCAGGGTCATAAAGTGCCAATTTCTCTTGTGATGGAGTGGCCAGGATTGCAAGACCTTGCTCTCAAGTTTCTAGCTTGTATATTTCAGGTGGACAGTGTTAATGTCAAAGCTGTTGATATGGACCATATTTGTTGCTCTGGTGTATGAAAAATATCATTAACCCTTCCTTTTGTTATCATTCTATCGATGGATATTGTCTTTTATGCAAGGATGAGTGTGTGAGAGAAAGAATATATTAAAAGAATGAATTACAGAAGGGAAAAAAAGAAAACAAAAAGACAATCTGTGTGGAAAAGTGAGTGAATAGCTTATTACAGCTGTATTAGTGTGGCCTGTAAGTAACTGGGCATGGACCAAACAAACTAGTGATTGATAGTGTGAGCAAACACTTAAAGCTGGGTACAATGACAGCCCAATCAGGTCATGAGTGAGAGAATCATCTTGTTGTATAATGGTTGACTTACGTCATTTCCAAAATGGACCAAAATGATGTCTGGTGCAATTCCCTATTTTGTCCTGTACAGTATGTTCCCATGTTTTTGCAGGTGAACAATTGACTTGTCTTTGCATGTGTTTGTGTTGTGACAGGTGGTACTGGTGGGACAGGATACGTTCACCTTTTGTGAACACCTAGTATCATCACTATTTGATGGGGATAAATAAGATTGAAAAGGGGATTGAGCAATTGAAGAGAATGAGAATAGAGGGAGGAAGTACTTTCTCTCTGTCTCACATGCACCCATACACGCTCCCCTCTCACTCTGCCTTTTCTCCTCTTTCTCTCTCTCCCACTCCCCCTCTGTCACCCTTACTCTCTCAATCTCACGCTCCCCTCTCACTCTGCCTTTTCTCCTCTTTCTCTCTCTCCCACTCCCCCTCTGTCACCCTTACTCTCTCAATCTCACGCTCCCCTCTCACTCTGCCTTTTCTCCTCTTTCTCTCTCTCCCACTCCCCCTCTGTCACCCTTACTCTCTCAATCTCACGCTCCCCTCTCACTCTGCCTTTTCTCCTTTCTCTCTCTCCCACTCCCCCTCTGTCACTCTTACTCTCTCAATCTCACGCTCCCCTCTCACTCTGCCTTTTCTCCTCTTTCTCTCTCTCCCACTCCCCCTCTGTCACCCTTACTCTCTCAATCTCACGCTCCCCTCTCACTCTGCCTTTTCTCCTCTTTCTCTCTCTCCCACTCCCCCTCTGTCACTCTTACTCTCTCAATCTCACGCTCCCCTCTCACTCTGCCTTTTCTCCTCTTTCTCTCTCTCCCACTCCCCCTCTGTCACTCTTACTCTCTCAATCTCACGCTCCCCTCTCACTCTGCCTTTTCTCCTCTTTCTCTCTCTCCCACTCCCCCTCTGTCACCCTTACTCTCTCAATCTCACGCTCCCCTCTCACTCTGCCTTTTCTCCTCTTTCTCTCTCTCCCACTCCCCCTCTGTCACCCTTACTCTCTCAATCTCACGCTCCCCTCTCACTCTGCCTTTTCTCCTCTTTCTCTCTCTCCCACTCCCCCTCTGTCACTCTTACTCTCTCAATCTCACGCTCCCCTCTCACTCTGCCTTTTCTCCTCTTTCTCTCTCTCCCACTCCCCCTCTGTCACCCTTACTCTCTCAATCTCACGCTCCCCTCTCACTCTGCCTTTTCTCCTCTTTCTCTCTCTCCCACTCCCCCTCTGTCACTCTTACTCTCTCAATCTCACGCTCCCCTCTCACTCTGCCTTTTCTCCTCTTTCTCTCTCTCCCACTCCCCCTCTGTCACTCTTACTCTCTCAATCTCACGCTCCCCTCTCACTCTGCCTTTTCTCCTCTTTCTCTCTCTCCCACTCCCCCTCTGTCACCCTTACTCTCTCAATCTCACGCTCCCCTCTCACTCTGCCTTTTCTCCTCTTTCTCTCTCTCCCACTCCCCCTCTGTCACTCTTACTCTCTCAATCTCACGCTCCCCTCTCACTCTGCCTTTTCTCCTCTTTCTCTCTCTCCCACTCCCCCTCTGTCACTCTTACTCTCTCAATCTCACGCTCCCCTCTCACTCTGCCTTTTCTCCTCTTTCTCTCTCTCCCACTCCCCCTCTGTCACCCTTACTCTCTCAATCTCACGCTCCCCTCTCACTCTGCCTTTTCTCCTCTTTCTCTCTCTCCCACTCCCCCTCTGTCACCCTTACTCTCTCAATCTCACGCTCCCCTCTCACTCTGCCTTTTCTCCTCTTTCTCTCTCTCCCACTCCCCCTCTGTCACTCTTACTCTCTCAATCTCACGCTCCCCTCTCACTCTGCCTTTTCTCCTCTTTCTCTCTCTCCCACTCCCCCTCTGTCACCCTTACTCTCTCAATCTCACTCTCCCCTCTCTCTCACTTGCTCTCTCTCCCCACTGTCTCTCCCCTCTCTCTCCCCTCCCTCTCTCACTTGCTCTCTCTTCTCTTCTCTTTTTCACTTTCCTCACTCTTTCTCTTTCTCACTCTCCTCTCTCTTTCACTTTCACTCTCTCTCTCCCTTTAACTCACTCTTACTCTCTCTCTCTCTCTCTCTCTCTCTCTCTCTCTCTCTCTCTCTCTCACTCATCACCTAACCCCCTCTTTCTGATATAAAGATATTCTATTATGAGAAAATATCATTAATCTTTGCCAAAAATATGTCAGTATCAAACTGAATAGGGAACTGTAAATACTAAGTATATTTCATTGTGTATTGTTTTCACAGCCATATTGCTAATGGTAATGGTTGTGTGGTCCAGATTAGATCGTACAGATACACATCTACGTAAAAATAGGCATGACATGCACTCTAACAGGAATGTCCTGGTAATTAAACATAAAAAGGTGAAATCCAGTCAAGCATGTTGCTCTGATAATCTCACCTGAGGGGCATGTGATATTAACAACAACTATTGATGACTGTCACTCTTTCAGAAAGTGAAATCAACACACTATACATCAAAGCATCACATCAGACACTGTGATCAGTTTCGAAATACACATATATATGAAACATATGAACACTGAATCAAGTCGGTTAATAGTTGACTATAGTTTAAAACAATACAAAACAACATCTTTCCTCAAACACATTTAACATACAAACTGATACTGACATGAAATGAATGTCTATATGAATTTAAGGATGTTTATTTACAAGGAAGTTTTGATGTACATTTTGTAATTGACGCAGGATGTAGGTAGTTTCCTGAACGGATGCCCAGGGTGTCTGTGTCACTGACAAGGAGGTAAGGGAGGAAAGCTCCCCCTTCATGAATGCTGACCCCAAAAACTGACGTTGTAGGGGGGCTTACTTTGATGGTTGGTGGAGGGGTGAGGAGGATTAGAGTATAGTCCTGTGTGAATGAACAGGAAGGTCTAACAGCATGGACAAACGAACTGCTTTACCCGGTTTGGAATAACAGTAATAAAGCAGATTTGGCATATTTCTTTTCTATAAAAGCTATCTTAACCGATTTGGTATCTGTGTCAATCTTTTGTATCCTTATCCCTTATTACTTTTTACCCTGAATATTATTCGTTTTTCTTTCTGTCTTCCTTTTCCTTCTCTCCCTTTTCTTATCCGTTTTTATTTTTGTTTTTCAACCATTACCATAATAATAAGATGTTCTTTGAATTAATTTTTTGTTAGTTAAATAGTTTTTGAATATGTTATATAAAGAGGCCCAGAGAAACTGAAGAAATCTAGACTTGACAGAGTATTATTGCCTTACTTGGGAGTATAAGGTAGTTTTACTTCAGAATCTGTATGCAAGACTATTTATTGCCTAGTGTGTGTATACCGTTTGCTATCTGAATCATTGCTCTTCCTATTTGTTTTATACTTAATGTGCATATATTTGTAGTTTGTAGAATATTGCCACTGTTTCTCCATGGAGTATTATACAATAGATATCTATCTTATATCTTGTCTCTACTGAAATGTGTGGAACTCACACATATTATATGTGAAAATATGCATATCTTAACATGTAAATATATGTAAATTTCCTCAAATATATGCAAATATTCATTGAACATTTTTATGACCAACATCTCTATTTCGTCAATCTCGAAAATCAAACAGATAACTAGACTAAAAAGAGGATGGAGGAAAAGATTGTTTAAATTGTAAATAACAAATCCTCCATATGCATAACAATTTCTTATCTTTGACCTATATACAGGCTTATCAGTTCTACTTGAAAAGGAGACACATTTCTTCCATACAGGGAAGTCTTTTCCCCAGGCCATGAGTTGTGCATGTGATGTAATTTACATCACAAGGTCAGTGTAGATTTCAGTGTCAATCAA